GAATAAGAAGGGAGAGAGAATAGCACCTTGAAGAACTTCGTGAGTGAAGGGTAAAAGTGAAGAGTTACGACCCTTATATTTGGTAAACTGTAATCGATGGGTGAAATAATTACTTAACACATTGGTATACTCCGGCTGAATGCCCTTCTTAGAAAGAGTGTGGAGCTGTTTGTACCTATCAACACAACAAAGGCATCACTGTAATCAAAGAAACATACCCGAACAGCTTTACATTTCCTGTCATCTTTCTTTTCATTTCTACTTCCTTTTTATTGAATATACAAAGATACAATTTTGAGGAATGGGGGAAGCGGCCAATCAAAAGAATGCCATTCAACACACAATGACGAAAGTTAGGCGGTGGTGGTGGGATTCGAACACTCCTGCGAGGTGATAATTGGTGACGTTACCACAGAGCCATCACCGTCGTTTAGGTGTATTGCGTCATCGGTGGCGCTAACAACTTCGGTTACGACTATTTCAAAATTCATGCTGACCGCTGACTGAGTGCACATAGACCTGGGGACCAGGGGAACTTCGTAAGCTCATACGCTTCTTGGAAAAGAAAATATAACGAGTGTGGTAACCGAGCTTATCCGGAAATTTCTAATTGTGAGTCCTTGACAGAATTAAATGTGTCTTCCAAACTCAGGAAGATTAAACGGATAATTTTTCGAAAAAGTCGTTCACATTTCAGCCAAATCAAAAGTGTCATCGACACGGCTATTATATTCGTTCCGCCTCGGCTGTGNCGGCTGTGGTCTCTCAATTGTCACGTGTCATCGATCATACGAATTCAAAGACCTGTGAATTCTCCCCACTGACTCTCCTTCTTACACTTCATTCTACATCAGTAAAACGTCATGTCCGATCGCACTGAGGCGAAACGTTCCGTAAAACGGGAGCGTCGATTCGAAGACAATTCCGACGAGAGCCGAATGGACGTAGCCCAGATAAAACACATATCCGATAGCCTCACCCTGAAATGCGCATTCAACACGATCAAAACTGCCGATCATCAGTACGCGCGTAAGATTGCAGAGCGAAAAGCGATCGAGACTGCAGACACACTGGCCGCACTAGAGCTGGATGCCAAATTTTCCACATCTTGTGTTCACACACAGTATAAAATGCTGCAACGATTGTTCCTTCTACGTATCAACGAGAGTCGTGATACCCTAACACGCCTGACTCGTGAATTACAAACAGTTCGTGCGGAATCGAAGGAAGCTATCAGTATTCGTGATCGTCAACTGGCTGAACGTGATGCTCGAATCGAACAGCTAGAAACGCATCTGAAATCTATGCACTATCAAATGAGTGGAGTGTTCTTCGATTTGTTAAGTCGTCTGGAAGTCAGTGTGACCGAGTCAATGACCACGGCGAAACAGTCAGCGGACAAGTTTCATAAACAGGCCAAGCGAGAGCTGTTAAACCTGGGTCTTGATATGAGTCTGATCTGATCTGATCTGATTTTGTTCTTCTCCAACCTGCCTCCTGATTGGAAAACTTCCCCTCTCTATCTATTCTTCCCCATAATCAGAGCACATTTCTGCTTGCTCTATTCCCCCGTTCACCCACCCCGCGGTGCACATGTTGAATTTCCCGTGGCTGTACCGGAATCGCATCACATGCGGGGCTGTTGCTATCTTCGATCGGAAATCACCCTTGTTTTTCTAACTCTGATACATCCTGTTCGGTACTGGTTTCTATCTTCCTATGATGTATCATTGTCAATGTGAAATGAAGACCGATCTTCTGTTGTCTGTCATGTGTGTATATGGATCTTCCCAGCCGATCATTTTCGTCTGCATAACTGGAACTTCAGCGAATGTGGGGGATAAGATGAAAATAACTGTTTCCATCTTCGGCATTGTTTTTCATCCTGAATTTACATTTGCCTGGTCTGAGCAAGCCACTTTCCCTGACAGATTCCTTTTACGTGGGATAAAA